ATTAATGAAGATTTTAAAATAAAAAGGAAGCATAAGAACAGCAGAAGAAGAACATAAACAATAGTGGAGCCGAGTCCAGAAATCAGGCCTTGCTACTTCCTAGTTTTTTTATATGTGGCACATTCTTATTTTGGGGGGACTTTAGATTCCTCAATTTTAATGTAGAGATACTGTTATCTATTCTCTGTCCTGTGAGGAGTTATTGCAATATTGCACAAACATGCCCAGATATAAACATACCAGGCCAGACACAGTGGCTCACACCTGTAATCCAGCACTTTGGGAGGCTGAGGCAGGTGGATGGCTCGAGCCTAGGAGTTTGAGCCCAGGAGTTGGAGACTAGCCTGGGCAACATGGCAAAACCCCGTCTCTACAAAAAAATTATTGGGGAGGCTGAGGTGGGAGGATCGCTTGACCCCTGGAGGCAAAGTTTGCAGTGAGCTGTGATTGTGCCACTGCACACCAACCTGGGCAACAGAGTGGGACCCTGTCTCAAAAACAGAAACAAACAAACCAGACATAAATATACTAGATAGGACAAGGGGCACAGAAGAACATGCAACATGGGGGAGTCTCTGTCCTTTGCATGCCATCAATGACATCATGGCCCTTCTTCCTTAGGGATGTTCACTCACTGGTCACACTCCCTCAGCCTGCCTCAGGAAAATCCCTCCAAAGCTCCTCCATGCACAAGCTAGCTAGAGATTGAAATGCAAGGACTCCTCCCTTGTGCCTCTTCTTGTTTCTTGACTTTCAGGGGCAGCCTTCCTGAATCAGATCTTCTATACCCGCCTTATGCAGAAACCTTGCATTTACCGGGATACACTGACTTGCCCCTCGCTCCGCCCAGGCCCATTTCTCTCAATTACAGTCACCTGCCAAGCTATCATTTTTGGGATCTTTCACAGGGCCTCAGAGAGAGAGAGCACCTCAGAGGTGTGTTCCTCCAAAGACATCTCCAAGAATAAGAGACCTTCTCTTAGTCTTGAGAACAGTTTCCTTAGAACCAGGTTGCTTTGAAAGGTGGAGGATTCAGGCCCGGAATCTAGGAGAGACTTGAAAGTTTGCAGGGGGAAGTGAGTGTATTTAAAAATTATTCAACTTTCATCCAAAGCTTTGGAATGCAGCAGTGTCCCCTCAGCTGAATTGTAAAGCCTGAACCACCAACTCATGCTCTGATTTCATTCTCACCATCAAAGCCACTTGCCCTGCCAAAGAAGTGCTCTAAGAAGAATCCTTAACTAGGCCTTATTGGAGGACCCAACCCACAGTCTTATCTCTAACTCTGCTAGCCATGGAATCTTGGCAAGTAATTTAACCTCTCTGTGTCTTTTCTGTATCTACAAAATAAGGCAGTCACTCTGCTGGTTTCATGCTAAAAGACTCATCCTCTTCTGCAGGCATGCTCACAGCTTCCGCCATCTGTGGTTCCTCTGATGTTTTCAAGAGTTTCTCCACTCTGCTGTCTATTCTCATTTTTTGCTTCCTCTATTGTCTTTGTATCTCTCAGTCCTTTGGCCCAATCTTAAAGGCACAAGATCAACAAGCCCCCGAACAAAAAGAGAAGAGCTGCCTCTGCCTCCCCAGCTACCAAACCCCACGGCTCTTTCCCCATGGAGTGCTGGTCTTATCCAGCTGTCCCCCAGCAGCAAGCTTCCTGGAAGTACAAGCCACTGACACACATGGAACAAAAGATACCCAGAGGCTGCCCCTGGGGCCCTTGATAGAGTAACAGGATTTTTTTTTTTTTTGGAGGGGTGGAGGTAATTGTGTTAGTCTATTTTGCATTGCTGTAAAGGAATACCTGAGAATGGATAATTTAAAATGAAAAGAGATTTATTTGGCTCACAGTTCTGCAGACTGTACAGGAAGCATGGCAGGAGCATATGCTTCTGGTGAGGCCTCAGGATGCTTCCAATCATGGTGGAAGAAAAGACGTATCACATGGTGAAAGAGGGAGCAAGAGAGAGGGGAGAAGGTGCCAGGCTGTTTTAAACAACCAGTTCTCCTGTGAACTCGCAGAGTAAGAACACTCTCGACACCATGGGGAGGGCACCAGGCCATTCATAGGGACCACACACCTCCCTCCAGGGCCTACCACTAACACTGGGATCACATTTCAACATGAGCTCTGGAGGGGACAAACATCCAAACCATATTCAATCTCAAGGACGCTTTTTTGCCCAGAAAAGATTATTAAGAGCTACTTTAATTTTTAAAACTTAATCTTCAATCTGTTTAAATTACTAATTTAAAATCTTAGGTCTGCCTTAGGATTTCAAGTTTAATATAGATATATTATCACTCTTTATAACAAATGTTAACAATCGATTTTTGTTTAGACAGAGTCTCCCTCTGGAGACTCATCAGGCTGGAGTACAGTGGCACGATCTCAGCTCACTGCAATCTCCAATCCCCAGGTTCTAAGTAATTCTCCTGCGTCAGCCTCCTGAGGAGCTGGGATTACAGGTTTGTACCACCATGCCCAGCTAATTTTGTATTTTTAGTAGAGACAGGGTTTCACCATGTTGGCCAGGCTGGTCTCAAACTCCTGACCTCAAGTGATCCACCCTCCTCGGCATCCCAAAGTGCTGGGATTATAGGCGTGAGCCACCACACCCAGCCAATAATCACTTTTAAGAGGGCTTTTTAATTAAATGTTGGGTCCCATTTATAAATTTAGTTTATAAAACTCATTCAAATACTTTATGTCATGTTTATATATTTAATATATTTTATTCCTCTCATGTCAATTGTCTAAAAACTTCTAGCTTTAACAAATTGAACTTTAAAATGTGAAAAACCATATTCTCTCAAGTATCCCAATACTGATCGCAATTTTAGAATGTCTTTTAATTTAAAATTAGAAAACTAAATCAATTTCTTAATTATATATTTTGCTTGGCATCAAGAGGATGATTGTTATTCTAATGGGTCAGTTTCCCTTAAATAGTACAAATACTTAAAAAGCCAAATGTGTATAACACAAATATGATGAATTTGATTCTCTTAAACATTTCTACATTTTAAAAAAATTTTTTGCAGGATTAAAAATGCTTACTCCATAAGGAAATAATCATGTCATTTTAAACACTCTTGGGTTACCTTCCCAGGCAATTTTGTGGGGTCGGTCTCATCTGTATTAGGTTTGCTACTCATCTCAGACCCCTGCCTCCATCCCGCTGTGGTGTTCAGGCCTGTTTCTGAGTTGCCTTGTCTTCTAGCCTTCCTCCTCTCCATTCGGGTAACTCCTTACCTGATGCTTTTCTCCCAAGTCACCACTTGGTTGGTTTCAACTAATGTATAATATTTGCTGCTCCATTCCATTCTGATTTATTTTTCTATTTATCCTATTCGCACCACAGCTCTTACAGACATTTCAATGCTATGCTATGGAATTCCTCACTGAGTTTTGCCTAACTCAGTTTTGTTTTCACAGTTCCAAGTTCATGCCACCGTGGGATAGAAGAAGGCAGAGAGAGAAGACAGAGTAGGTAGAGAACATTTCCATTTCCAAATGGCTTTCCCCACGGCACCCTCCTCTCGATAAGGCTCAGGGAACAAAGCACAGAATGTATCATTGCCCCTGCACTCTTTCTCCATCATGGGGTCATCATAGTTGCCTCTCTTCTGCCTGACCTCAGGATTTTCCCTGCAGAGTCCTGAAGACTTACCAGGAGCCAGGCAACCCAAGAAACAGTTTACCAAGCCAAAGGGCTGATCAGGGCAGTGACTAATTTTGCTCATGCTCTCACATTCTCTCCATTATTTCTCTCTCTCTCTCTCACACACACACACACACACACACACACACAGAGAGAGAGAGAGAGAGAGAGAGAAAGAGAGACAGAGAGAGACTCCTCTAATCCTCTGTGGCTCCAAACACAGGCTCAAAATTATTCCTGTCAACGTTCGTGAGGTCAGGCCCTTCTAAGCAGATGCTACTGATTTTATCATATCCTTCAGCTGTTGGCAATGACGCTGCCTAACCTATTTCCTTTTTGGTCAGCTTTTATAGCACTCTTACTTGAATATCAAATAGGTTTTTGTACTAAGGCAGCCAAGTTGAATGTCTAGTTTAAAACAGACAATTTTGGGGGTGGGAGAATAATTTTGTATAAACAAAATAGCCTTAGGCAAGTCTGTAAATGAGAGGCTGTTGTGGTGCAGTGAAAGATCACTGGACATGGACCGGGAGGGCGTGGGCTCCATTTCAATCGCTGTTACAAACCTGCATCTTGGGCCTAATTCTGTGAGCATCAGTCCCTTCATCTGTGATATCACTGACACGGACATGGGAGCAATTGCTAAGGTCATTGCCAAGAAAAGAATAGATTTAAGGGCCGGGCGCGGTGGCTCAAGCCTGTAATCCCAGCACTTTGGGAGGCCGAGGCGGGTGGATCACGAGGTCAAGAGATGGAGACCATCCTAGTCAACACGGTGAAACCCCGTCTCTACTAAAAATACAAAAAAAAAATTAGCTGGGCACGGTGGCGCGTGCCTGTAATCCCAGCTACTCAGGAGTCTGAGGCAGGAGAATTGCCTGAACCCAGGAGGCGGCGGTTGCGGTGAGCCGAGATCGCGCCATTGCACTCCAGCCTGGGTAACAAGAGTGAAACTCCGTCTCAAAAAAAAAAAAGAATAGATTTAAAAGCACATGAAACACTGGAAGTCTTTTCTTCCATGGCTTCCAGTATCTGACATGCTTCTGGTTTCCTTTAGTCTCACGGACTGGTCCTCCTCAGTCACTTTGCTGGTTCATCTCCTCTCCCCAACCTCTGAATATTGGGCTTAACCTTTGGACCTCTGCTTTCCTTCTCTCCTTGTTCCACTGGTGATCTCATCCAGTTGCAGGGGTTTTGATATCATCTATAGGCTGATGACTCCCACATTCCAGCCCAGCATGCTCTGAACTCCAGGCTCATATTCTACCAGCCTATTCATCATCTCAACTTGGATGCCAATATGCACCTCAAACTATATATTGTAAACCTGCTCACCTGCAGTCTTTCCTGGTTTAGCTAATAGCAATTTCATCCTTTTGGTTGATTGGATCCAAAATAGTAGAGGCATTCATGACTCATCTCTTTCATACCTCCCGTCTTTCCATTCCATCAGCAAATCCTTTGAATTCTGTCTTCAAAAGATAATGTAAATCAGATGGTTTTTACACCACCAACCACTGCCCTGAGGCAAGACAGCATTAAAACTCGCCTGGATTCTTGCTGGAGTTTCCTAAGTGGTATCCTTGGTTCTGTCCTCACTCCCCTCCACTCTCCTCAGTCTGTTTTCATATAACAGATACAGGAATCTTGTGAAACTATAAATTAGATCATGTTATGCCTTTCCTCAAAACCCTCCAATTTCTACCTATCACATTCAAGGAAATTACTGTTATGTATCACTTGCTATAAAATGGGGATCATGATAATACTTCCGAGGGTTGTTGTGAGGATTTAAAAAGTCAATATATGTAAAGCACTTTAAACTAATATTCACGAGGTATTTACTCTGAATCAAGCACTGCCCTACATACCCTACATACATGAACTCAGTATGCATTACCTCATTAGTTCTCATAAGACTTCAAAGGTGTGCAGTCTTATACCCATTTCACAGTTGAGGAAACAGCATTACAGAGAGATTAAATAATAAGCTCCCCAAAGTCACACCACTGGGAGTGGCAGAACCAGGCTTCTGCTGCAGGCACTTGGCCTCCATGGCCTGTGCTTTTGCTACACTGCCTCATCAGTAAGACTTCTTCCATGACATGCTCTAGATGCTGACTAGTACCCCCCATCATATGGAGGGAAAATTAATTTACTTAACCCATTCCTCACAAAGTCCTCTAACATTACACAGGCTCTAACGTAAGCTAATAAATTCTTTACTCAACAAATACTGTTGAACGACAATGTACTAGGCATCAAAGACACACCAGTGGACAACCAAAAAGGGACACAAAGTTCTGTCTTCATGGAGCTTACATTCTGTTAGAAGCATTTGTATAATGGAAGTGTCACTAGAGGCCTGGCTTGTCTACTGACTAATTGCTTTTCTCTCCTTAAGTGAGCAGCCTCAGCTTCATTCATTTGGTGCATCTTGTGGGCAAGGCACTTGGCTAATGTCTGTGGGAGGAACAGAAATGACTCAGACATGGACTTTGCTCAGGGGAGGCTGTATATCACCATGTGCCGGGTATCTCAGTAGCAGTATTTGTTGAACTGTTCCTGGGTCTGTCCTGTGCTCTCATTTTCATACCTCTTATTTAATATCTAAGCTCCCTAAGGGGGAAGAACATTCTTGTGGTTTCCTTAGTCTCTGCCCACAGAGCCTAGAAGAGTGCTTTGAATACACTAGCTTCGCAGTTTATGTTCTTCATTGAGTACCAAGCTCTAGAAAGATTCCTCAAAAATCTATTTGGCCTTAAGCTTTGCTCCCCACCCTTTTGTCCTTAATGCCATATTTAGTCCAGCAGAAGACAGAAGAGAACTAAGACTATAAGAGCTAATAATTGTTAACATTTTCATTGTCCTTTTCCTAATTAATTTTAACTATTTAATCCTTTAGCCACTTGGATGGAGGAGCCCTGATAATCTACGGAAAGGTCACGGCAAAGACTGATTGACATACACACACAAATACACACATACTTAAAACCCTTCAGTGATTTCTCACCATTCATTCTTAGGAAAAACAGCCAAATCTTCAGCAAGGTCTCCAATGTACAAGGTCCTGGATGGCTTGCCTGTACCTGCCTCTCAGCTCTTGCCCTCAACGTCATGAGTCATCTTGCTCTGGGCACTGCAACCACAGGGCCTGCTTGTGGTTTTCCATACACTCCTGCTCCATTCTGCTGCAGGGCATCTGCATGTGCAGTTCCCACTTCCTAGAAAGCATTTTCTTCTTCATCCTTTAGACTCAACTCAATCATTACTTCCTTAGACAAGCCTTCGCTGTCACTGGGCCGCCAACTCCATCCAGCATCCTATCTTCTTATAGCATCAGCTCCTCTCCTTCAGGCCCCTATTCAGCCATTCATTCATCCCGGGTATAATTTTACTTGTGTAGGTAGAAATATGTCATTAATGTATTTCTCCTCTACTATGCTTCATGAGTACAAAGACCATTTCTGTTTTTTCTCACCATTGTATAATCAGAGCTTAGCACAGTACTTGAAACAAAATATATATATATTTTTTTTCACTCACTCAACAAATATATAATGGGAGGGAGGAGGTGGGATCGGGGCATTAAAAAAAGAACATATAATGAGCACCTTCTGTGTGCCTGGCCCTGTTCTATGCACTGGGAACACAATAGTGAGAAGCCAAAGTCCCTGCCTTCCTGGAGCTTATATTCTAGTTTTGGATAAGAGACAATAAACAAATAAGCAAGATGACTGCAAGGAAGGATAAGTGTTATGGAGAAATTCCTTCTGAGGGAACAGGATGTGAGCACTGGGGACAGGGTATCTCAGATAATGGTCAGGAAAGGCCTTTACAGGGAGCTGGCATATGAGCCGAGTCCTGGGTACTCTGAAAGGGGGACTGAATTTTATTGCAAAAGTTGGTACAGTCCCAGGCAAATCAGGACAGTTGATCACCTTACCATAGTATGCTGCTGCTTCAGCCACTCACCCAGAAAATAATTCTCCCACACCTTCTAAATCTCATTTCCAGAAACACTCCTTCACGAGAAATTAATATGGCTCAGTAAATGCTTTGTAATGATGAGGAGATTTCTCAGGAATCCACACCCACTAACTTTAGGCATAGCTCTGGCTTTGGGATTCCCAGTTAAAACCAGACCCCCTCCTGCAACCCTCCCACCCTTAGAGACCCATATTTGGATTTCCATTTGGATGGAATCCATCCAACAGGAAAATCTCATTTCCTCCCTCCATCTGGCTCACTCTCCCAGCCTGGAACCTTTCCCCACAAAATCCCTTGGCAGACTCCTCTTCTGTACTCCCTCCTGACTGGCTGAGCTTCTGGCCAGCTCGACCCAATAATAAAGTGCCTGTAGTGAACCACAGGGCAGCACATCCCTCCAGTGGTCCTCCTGCTCCTTGGGGCACACACTTGAGCAGGCCCTGCCTCGACAATTGGCAGCTGCCCGCTTTGCGCGGGCGCTCACACACATTCTTCCCCACTCTCATTATTCTAAACTATGTCTTTAGTAATGGATTTAGAAACAGTTCACTGGCTAACCTGATTTTTTGTTTCATCTCCAGTCAAATTCCTAAGCCACTGTTAAAAGCATCCCTTTTTCTCTTAGCCCCTTTCCCAGCTTCAACTCTCCCCTCACCAACTATATAAGCAATGTTAGTACCTGCCTCACTGGGATTGGCAGAATTAATATACACAAAACACCTAGAACAGTCACCAGTACACAGTAGCCATTTACATGAATGTATTCAATGAATGAAATGCTAGCCCTTAGTATTGTCCCTGAGATCTGAGAGTCTTTTGTGCCTTGACAGTAAGTAGCTGCCTGCTATGATTTTATTTAAAGAGACAAATTATCCTGTTGCCCAAATGCTCCCCTAGCAAACTTAAAATTCCTACCATCAGCATCTGTATTTAAAAAGAGCACATGAGGCTGGGCATGGTGGCTCACGCCTATATTCCCAGCAGTTTGGGAGGCCAAGGCTGGTGGATTACTTGAGGCCAAGAGGTCAAGACCTGCCTGGGCAACATGGTGAAACCCTGTCTCTGCTAAAAACATATAAATTAGCCAGGTGTGGTAGTACATGCCTGTAATCCCAGTTACTCAGGAGGCTAAGGCACAAGAATTACTTGAACCCGGGGGGCAGAAGTTACAGTGACCCAAGATTGCACCATTGCACATCAGCCTGAGTGACAGAACGAGATTCTGTCTCAAAAAAAGAAAAGACAAAAGCACATGAGGAGGATCGGAAACATTAGAACAATAATCCCATTTTTCTCCCCAGAAGAGTTCATTGGATTAAACAGAAGTAGCATACCAGGGACTATAGCTGCATGGGGAGGACAGAGCTCAAGGCTTGTTTAGAAGAGGTCAAAAGCTGGCACTGCAAGGAGGGGCGGCATCATGAGGGCACTGTTCTCTGGACAGGGTGAGGGGAACAAAGCTAAGGGCATGGAGAAGTGGAAAGGGTGTGGCAAAGAGAGATTACAAAGACAAAATTCAACTAAATTGATGGAACCAGGTCCTTTCCTAAAGCAACATCTTCCCTCCCCAGCTCTGCCCCATTCAAGACTAGATGGCATACTGCAGGCATCCCACTCAAGAGAAAAGAGCCTGGAGTTTCAAGCCAGCATAAACTCAGAGCAAGTCCCAGTCCTCCCATTTACCAGTTGACCAATTTCATTGACCTTTCTGAAGTATAGATTCCTCCTCTGTAAAAACAAAACAAACATAAAAACTCTCTAAGCTAGTTGTGAGGATTCAATGAGATAAGGCATGTGATAAGCCAGATATGTAACCACGTTCTAGGAGGCACTCAGATCATTTAGCTTCTCAGTCAGCTTTCTGACCTCACACTAAGTCCATAGCCTCTTCCACCTTTTCATACCTAGCTTTTATATGTAATTTATTACATTCAATTCAATTCAATGAAGATTTTACAGAATGCCAAGCACTAAACTCTGGGGATACAACAGGATCAGGTCCCCTTGCTCCCCATGCCCCCCCAAAACCTGTAGCGTATAGGAGAAGCTAGGGATTATATGTATTACAAATGAACACTGAACATTCCAATAAAGGAAATACAGGAGCTGTCAGAACACAGATAGTTCTCATATTATATAATAGATGTAAAATGAGCTCTAGGTCATTTATGCTAAGGGTCAAGACACAGGACAGGAATCAAGCACTTCCACAATAAAAATCTATGCAGATTATCTCAGTAGAGCAGATTTTTATGTTGGTGGTAGTTTTCAAAGTTAGCACATAACTGAAAGCAGTCACTTTAAAAAACAATCCCTTGAATTATCCATACAATACAGTATACATGGTTTTGGTGTATAAGTATATATTGTTGTGTGTATATAAATATGTAATAATCTACAACAGATACTTAACAAAGAATAAATATGCAAAATAGAAGTTTATAGATTTTACTACACAGAAGAAACAAAAAGTGAAATTAGAAAAAGTTTGCAAAATCAATGCTCTAAAAATTTTCAGTGGAAATGCATGTTTTGTTCTGATAACAAATTCTAAAGGGCCAGGATACAGCTGCAAGGTAAAGCACATTCATACTCTTCAACCACGCTGGGGTTTTTTTGGTTTTTTTTTTTTTTTGAGACAGAGTTCACTCTTGTTGCCCAGGCTGGTGTGCAGTGGCATGATCTCGGCTCACCACAACCACCACCTCCCAGGTTCAAGCAATTCTCCTGCCTCAGCCTCCCAAGTAGCTGGGATTACAGGCATGCACCATTACGCCTGGCTAATTTTTTGTATTATTAGTAGAGATGGGGTTTCACCATGTTGGCCAGGATGGTCTCGAACTTCTGACCTCAGTTGGTCCACCTGCGTCAGCCTCCTAAAGTGCTGGGATTATATATAGGTGTGAGCCACTGTGCCCAGCCACCCTGGGCTTTTTAGAAGTGCGAATATAGGCAGTAGCTTCAGAAAATCATCCTTTGGTTCTCTTAGTTGTTAGACTTCTGTAGAAGCCTGTCAATCTTACACAGTATTAGTAGAAAGAAAATTACCCCCCCCAAAAAAAAGTTATTAGCCTTTTATTTTTGGACAGGTTATGGAATCATAAAATCTCAAGGTTGTAAGGGAACTGAAAGAGTGCTAGTTCAACCTCTCATCATATGTTTCAATCCCTCCCAAGGGATCGAACCGCCTCTACTTAGATATTTTCAGTAACTAGAAACTACCCATTTCATCTTAGAACACCTCCAGCAGTAATTTAAATACACAATCACTTCAAAAACTTAATACATCAAAATTAATGTGTTGCATAAAGATCTTCCTGGTGGGGGTTCACTTTAAAGTTATTATGAATATTTACTCTCCAATATTCTTAGTGTATAAAAGGGTCATACAAACTAATAAGAACATCACTAACATCTCAATAGATAAGTAAAAATGTAAATCATCACATTTGTATTTAAAAGTTCAGTCAGCCAGTCTCGGTGGCTCACGGCTGGGTGCAGTGGTTCACGCCTGTAATCCCAGCACTTTGGGAAGCCAAGGCGGGTGGATCACCTGAAGTTAGGAGTTCTAGACCAGCCTGACCAACATGGAGAAACCCCATCTCTACTAAAAATATAAAATTAGCTGGATGTGGTGATGGGCATCTGTAATCCCAGCTACTTGGGAGGCTGAAGCAGGAGAATTGCTTGAACCTAGGAGGCAAAGGTTTCGGTGAGCTGAGATTGCGCTGTTGCACTCCAGCCACTCCAACCTGAGCAACAAGAGCAAAACTCCATCTCCAAAAAAAAAAAAAAAAAAAAGGTTCAGCAGTCTACCTCATTTAATAGGCAAAAAATTATCCCACATTTTAACCCATTAAGTAACAAAGGTTAAGACACAGTGCACTAAAGAAGCAGTGAGATAGAAACTGTAAACTGATGGCAGAACTGTAGATTGCTACAACTTTTCTGTATTTCATTTTGGCAATATTCATTTGTCAAAGAATAAGGCCAGAGGTTTGCTGTTGTTGCTTCATCACAGCTGAGTCTACTAATTTACCAGGCAAGGGAACACAAACCCAAACAGAAATTTGTCATGTATCCCTGTTAGGGAAAAGTTGGGGGCTGTGTTTTAAGTGCTGGAGAGAAGTGCCTGATGAGTATTCTAATTAAGCACTGACAACCAGCATTCTAGACAGTCAGTTGTTTAAACAAGTGTCACTGTCATTGGTCAGGAAGGAGGTTTCAATCAGGTCCTGTGTGTGGGTGGGGAGTTTCCTTAAAGGTCACGGTCAGCTTCAGCAGGTTAAAACCAGTTGGGTTAAAACAGTCTTCAGTTTTGATATTTCCTAGGCGAGAAGGGAAATTTCTTCCTCCCTTTCTTCACTTATTCAACAATGCACATAAAGGCTAGGCACAGTGGCTCACATCTGTGATCCACTTGAGATCAGGAGCTCAAGACCAGCCTGGCCAACATGGTGAAATCCCAACTCTACTAAAAATACAAAAAAAATTAGCTGGGCATGGTTGTATGAGCCTGTAATCCCAGCTACTTGGAGGCTGAAGCAGGAGAATCGCTTGAACCCAGAAAGCAGAGGTTGCAGTGAGCCGAGATCACACTACTGCACTCCAGCCTGGGCAACAGAGTGAGCCTCCATCTCAAAAAAAAAAAAAAGAAAAGAAAAGAAAAAAAAAAGCAGAATAGTAGTAAAGCAGGCAGAGATAGTTCCTGTCCTCATGGAAATTGCCACCAAGTAATGTGATTTTGTCATGAAAATGTTTACATTATTAAACCTAAAAATTTCACTTTAGGAAACTTATGTTAAGGAGATAATAAGTTGGTCAAATATTTATACACAAATATATTCATTAGAGTATTGCTTTAGCAAAAAAATAGAAACAACCTAAATTTCAACAGTAAAGGAATTGCTGAAAAAATACATAATACATTCATAAATTGACTATAAAAGGTTTAACGACATGGGAAATGTGTATGAGATAATATTAAACCAGGCAAATAATATTTTCAAGACATAGAATGTGGCCTCAATTATAGTAGACATTATATAAAATAAATTTTTAAAGTACTTGGTGGCTGGTCATGGTGACTCACATCTGTAATCCCAGCTCTTTAGGAGGCCAAGGCGGGCAGATTGCCTGAGTCCAGGAGTTTGAGAACAGACTGGCCAAACTGGTGAAACCCTGTCTCTACA